GGTAAAATGGGATAATGGGACAATTGGCTATTCTTAAAATATTTTGTTTGATGAAGGTCATGACATTAAACAATAATCAAACTATCAATCGTTCTGATCTACAAGTTACAACACCCCGAAATACAAGTAAAATGTTCATTTATTCACATAAAAAAATCCACAGTGGACGGTAGCTCAAATATTTTTACAGTTGCATATCTTATGTTCATATACATCAATAAATTACATCATTATGTTCATATATATCAATAAATTACATTATTATGTTCATATACATCAATAAATTACATCATTGTTTACATTCAAATCACCACAAAATCTCACCCATGGAAAAAAAGATCAAACAATTCACCTCCCTGTAACTGACTTTCATTCTGGAACTGCAGCTGGAGCTCCCCATAAACATTACTATCTAGGAAACCATGGAGAAAATCACCATTAGATTGCCCGTGCACAGGAAAAATTCTCTCTTGAAACCCCTGATTGGTTTGTGGATTTGAATCCGACTGGTAGATTTGAAAATTTGCGTTTACAACCTGAATTCAACAAACAACAACAATATCGAAAACCCTAGAAATGAAAATTTGCGTTTACCTCCGGATCTTATTCCCCTTGCCAACCTGGTACATTCCCCAGGAGAAGGCGCCAAACGCAGCTAAGAAGACCGCGACGACGCTAGGTCCTTTCATCGTAATCCGGCGAGCGTAGCGCACCGGCGCGAAGCCGCCAAGTGGTCGTCCATCCTGGAGAACCGGCATCTCCTTCACGCTCGTCATCTCCGGCTTCTTGCGGATCATCCCCATCTGTTTCCTGGAGAACCGCAAAGATCTGATTGTGTTTCCGGGGCGTGGTGGTGGGGGGGAGAGGGCGTGGTCGAGGGCGGCGGTGAGGTGGAGGGAGAGGGCGGAGGAGAGGAGGAGGGAGGAAGGATCAGGGGAATGTTTACCCCCATCTTTGTTCCAACAACGAATTTGGTGTAATTTTGACAGTGCTGGGTGAGAGGGCTTTATATACTTGGGGTAATTTGGAGAAAAGTTGGGTATTTGTCCCACAATTACCCCAACAAACCAATAACACCACAAACTTGGCTCCAGTTCCAATTACATAAATGAATAACACTAAAAAGTGTTGTTCCAGAAATTATCCCATTACCCCCAAAATTACACCAATGAATAACCCTCCTTTATAGAAGAGTAAGAGAGAAAAGAAAGGTTTAGAGAAAAGTCCTTGTGAGAGAAAATTGTGAGCAATTTTCAGAGTGAGATTGGGTTGTGAGTTTGAGTGTGAAAAACTTTGAGAGTGGTTTGTAAAATTTTCTCCTCTTTAGTGAAAGATCTGCAGCAGCCTGTGGACGTAGGCAAGTTTGTGCTGAACCACGTAAATCTTGCGTGTCCCCCTTTTTGCGCATTTATTTCGCTTTCTCTTAAATCTGGTAATAGGGGAATGTGGTAATAGGGGAATGAGAGTAATTTCCCAACATATTTTACATTAAATGGGTTTGACTATCTTTGCAGCAAAACAAAATACAAGATACATATGGGTTTGGACCCTCACCTTAAGCCTGAGTTTCACATGCTACCAGCCTCCCCAAGCAATAGACAAGACTTCCCTTATAGAGGCCCTATTGAACTATGGCTTATCACCATATAGGGATAAGCCTAATGCTGCAGAGCAGAGTCAGTTTCGGTGCAACATGGAACACACGATTAAGGGAAAAAAGGAAAATATCATAGCAGATAGTGTCGACAATTTACTTGTTCTATTTATCTTCAATCCTACTAAAAATGGCTGTTTGTTCAAGTCCCTACCATTCTAGGTCCTGCAATCTTCTCTTCTTCATTATGGGCAGATTTACCCCTAATATGGTCTTTGTAAATCTTACGCTGTGTGTTGACCTTAGTATGCCACAAAGGTTTAATTTAGGTGTTCAAATCTCGCATCTTCTTGCTGCGGTTACAAAGACGGTGACTACTGACAAACTGAAGCTGTGTTCAGCTTCAGTTGGCCTGCAATAATAACAAGAGCAGGGAAGAGCTCCTGCATAGATCAAGATATGAAGACAAATTAAAATCAGTTTTCAAGTGGGAGATTGTTGGTCAGAAATGACTGCACCGAAAGCTTCAGCCTGACATTTTTTGACAAAGAAAAGGAGCGGGCCCCATCTATTCTCAATTACCGAAAGAGACAGTTTTTTCTTCTTTGTCAAAAGCCTCCAGCCACCGAAAACATCAGAGTAGCCGAAAGGAGGCAGCAAATTTTGAAATTGAAGAAAAGTAAAGAGTTGAATGAGGAAAAGGTAGGTGGGTCCCACCACGGGTGGGCCCCACCGCTAATAAAATATTGATGCATAGTATTTTTCCAAACACTATAAATAGACATCAAACTCTTAAGGAAAATCTCATCCAAGAAACAACTCCTCTTAGGGGGGTTATTCATTAGGGTAATTTGGGGCAAATTGGGTAAATATGTTCCAATGGGGTAATTTTACCCAATGGGATAATTTGAGTGGGATAAATTAGGGGTAAAATGGGATAATGGGACAATTGGCTATTCTTAAAATATTTTGTTTGATGAAGGTCATGACATTAAACAATAATCAAACTATCAATCGTTCTGATCTACAAGTTACAACACCCCGAAATACAAGTAAAATGTTCATTTATTCACATAAAAAAATCCACAGTGGACGGTAGCTCAAATATTTTTACAGTTGCATATCTTATGTTCATATACATCAATAAATTACATCATTATGTTCATATATATCAATAAATTACATTATTATGTTCATATACATCAATAAATTACATCATTATGTTCATATATATCAATAAATTACATTATTATGTTCATATACATCAATAAATTACATCATTATGTTCATATATATCAATAAATTACATTATTATGTTCATATACATCAATAAATTACATCATTGTTTACATTCAAATCACCACAAAATCTCACCCATGGAAAAAAAGATCAAACAATTCACCTCCCTGTAACTGACTTTCATTCTGGAACTGCAGCTGGAGCTCCCCATAAACATTACTATCTAGGAAACCATGGAGAAAATCACCATTAGATTGCCCGTGCACAGGAAAAATTCTCTCTTGAAACCCCTGATTGGTTTGTGGATTTGAATCCGACTGGTAGATTTGAAAATTTGCGTTTACAACCTGAATTCAACAAACAACAACAATATCGAAAACCCTAGAAATGAAAATTTGCGTTTACCTCCGGATCTTATTCCCCTTGCCAACCTGGTACATTCCCCAGGAGAAGGCGCCAAACGCAGCTAAGAAGACCGCGACGACGCTAGGTCCTTTCATCGTAATCCGGCGAGCGTAGCGCACCGGCGCGAAGCCGCCAAGTGGTCGTCCATCCTGGAGAACCGGCATCTCCTTCACGCTCGTCATCTCCGGCTTCTTGCGGATCATCCCCATCTGTTTCCTGGAGAACCGCAAAGATCTGATTGTGTTTCCGGGGCGTGGTGGTGGGGGGGAGAGGGCGTGGTCGAGGGCGGCGGTGAGGTGGAGGGAGAGGGCGGAGGAGAGGAGGAGGGAGGAAGGATCAGGGGAATGTTTACCCCCATCTTTGTTCCAACAACGAATTTGGTGTAATTTTGACAGTGCTGGGTGAGAGGGCTTTATATACTTGGGGTAATTTGGAGAAAAGTTGGGTATTTGTCCCACAATTACCCCAACAAACCAATAACACCACAAACTTGGCTCCAGTTCCAATTACATAAATGAATAACACTAAAAAGTGTTGTTCCAGAAATTATCCCATTACCCCCAAAATTACACCAATGAATAACCCTCCTTTATAGAAGAGTAAGAGAGAAAAGAAAGGTTTAGAGAAAAGTCCTTGTGAGAGAAAATTGTGAGCAATTTTCAGAGTGAGATTGGGTTGTGAGTTTGAGTGTGAAAAACTTTGAGAGTGGTTTGTAAAATTTTCTCCTCTTTAGTGAAAGATCTGCAGCAGCCTGTGGACGTAGGCAAGTTTGTGCTGAACCACGTAAATCTTGCGTGTCCCCCTTTTTGCGCATTTATTTCGCTTTCTCTTAAATCTGGTAATAGGGGAATGTGGTAATAGGGGAATGAGAGTAATTTCCCAACATATTTTACATTAAATGGGTTTGACTATCTTTGCAGCAAAACAAAATACAAGATACATATGGGTTTGGACCCTCACCTTAAGCCTGAGTTTCACATGCTACCAGCCTCCCCAAGCAATAGACAAGACTTCCCTTATAGAGGCCCTATTGAACTATGGCTTATCACCATATAGGGATAAGCCTAATGCTGCAGAGCAGAGTCAGTTTCGGTGCAACATGGAACACACGATTAAGGGAAAAAAGGAAAATATCATAGCAGATAGTGTCGACAATTTACTTGTTCTATTTATCTTCAATCCTACTAAAAATGGCTGTTTGTTCAAGTCCCTACCATTCTAGGTCCTGCAATCTTCTCTTCTTCATTATGGGCAGATTTACCCCTAATATGGTCTTTGTAAATCTTACGCTGTGTGTTGACCTTAGTATGCCACAAAGGTTTAATTTAGGTGTTCAAATCTCGCATCTTCTTGCTGCGGTTAAAACAGTACATTTTGATCTTATTCAAGTTCCCTTTCAGGTTAAATTTTCTGCTTCCTCTGGCAGAAGCTATTTGGTAAATTGATATGCATTGAAGAAAAATTTTGAAAACCATGTAGAGGATTAAAAGTACTAGTACTAAGAAGTAACTATAAATGATAATCAAGCACTGAACTGTTCAGTTTTACCAATAATACACTTAAGCAACCTTTTATTAAGAATAATGCAATTGTTGTGTGCTTAACCTAAGTAAAATTCTTAAGATTCAGGAAAGCCAGTGGTCAAATTTCATTGTGAGGATAGCCAAATATGTAAACCATGAACATCTCTGCTATTCATGTCTACATTGTTAGTTCCTTTACTCGTGCTTTTTATCAATAATAATTAAATTTCTTTTTGCAGAGGATTAGCTCTAGGAATTGCATTAACAGTTTATGGGAGGGAAGAAGATGCTGATGCTCTGATCGAACAATTAACTGGAGATCAAGATCCGATACTTCGTTATGGTGGCATGTATGCATTGGCCTTGGCTTACAGGGGAACGGCAAACAATAAGGCCATACACAAGTTGTTGCATTTTGCTGTATCAGATGTCAGTGATGATGTGCGAAGAACTGCTGTTCTAGCCCTTGGATTTGTTCTGTACTCAGAACCTGAGCAGGTTAGTTTATTGTCAAATGATATAGATTGTTCCGTGAATCCATTCTTTTTTATATTAACAATGAGATTGTACCCTATCTGGAGTATGACCAACTCGGATTCAGAAGGTTTTGAATCTAGATATCAGTATACTATTAGGAAACCAAGATTAATGTGACGTTGTCTCTTCATGTCGAAAAATATCATTTGTCTATTGCTAACTGGACACTCAAGCTTAATATGTTGCTCTCATTTTGCGGTAAATGAGTGAGTACATACTCTCTGATTAGCAGAACTGACCCGGAAAAAAAGAAGAGCATACAACATATATTTAGTTCAGCAGTACAGTTTCAAAGCGAACTTATATTTCCTTTTGTTTTCTCCTTTTCTTTTCTTTTCTGTTCTGTGGGCGATCGGCATATGGTCACAGACCCTTATTTTCTGTGTATCCTTGACTATTTGCAGACTCCAAGAATTGTTTCTCTGCTCTCTGAATCCTACAATCCACATGTGCGTTATGGAGCAGCACTAGCAGTAGGCATCTCCTGTGCGGGTACTGGTCTGAGTGAAGCAATTTCCCTGTTAGAGCCTCTTACATCTGATGTTGTTGACTTTGTTCGTCAAGGAGCCCTCATAGCCATGGCTATGGTTATGATCCAGACGAATGAATCTTGTGACTCTCGAGTTGGGACATTCAGGTATCACTCGTACTATACACAGATTGCTGCGTGAATTTCATTTCTTGTTGGGTAATATTCCTTTTTCCCCCCATATAGACGTCAGTTGGAGAAAATTATTCTTGATAAGCATGAAGATACAATGAGCAAGATGGGTGCTATATTGGCTTCTGGAATTCTGGATGCTGGTGGGCGTAACGTTTCAATTAAGCTTCTTTCTAAAGCTAAGCATGATAAAATCACAGCAGTTGTTGGTCTAGCAGTATTCAGCCAGTTTTGGTATTGGTATCCTCTTACCTACTTCATTAGCCTTGCTTTCTCGCCCACAGCGTTCATTGGTCTGAATTATGACCTCAAAGTGCCAAAGTTTGAGTTCTTATCTCATGCCAAACCTTCTCTCTTTGAGTACCCTCGCCCCACTGCCCCACCCTCATCAACATCAGCAGTTAAATTACCGACTGCTGTCTTGTCAACAACAGCAAAAGCAAAATCTAGAGTGAAGAAAGACGCAGAGCAGAAAGCCTCTGCTGACAAGTCGAGTGAAGACACATCAACCAGTTCAAGTTCTGGGAAGAGCCCGAAACCTTCTGAGAAAGATAATGATTCAATGCAGGTAAGTCACTTACTTGGTTATATGCTGAGTGTTTTTTTGTAGTTAAAAGACATTCCAAGTCTTGCTCTTGATAGTCCTTATGAAGAAGTTAGTTACTCATATCTGGATCAACCAGCTGATTGTCATGTAGATGGGCAATCCCTAAGCATAGGTCCTATTGGCTATAGAAAAATTAGAGCCATAACAAAATTTGAGCATCTGGAGCGCATATGAATCTACATGTTGCAAGTTGTTTTGAGATTCTGGAATAAGTTCTTCCATGTTTGGTACTAAATTCTTGTACTATGCTTTCCTCTATTATTTGTGATATTGTCTCCTTGGGATCTATTATATGCGTGTATCCTTGGGATCTATTATATGCATGTAAAGATCTAGCAGATTTGGTGCCTGCGTGTACTGTTGCTCAATTCACATTTGCATTCATTATTCTTTTCTTAACTCGGGTGTTAATTGAAACAAGCCTTGGCTGTCATTTGACCATTTCAGCGGCAACTTTAGTATTTGCTCTCTAACTAAGCTGATATTTGGTTATAGAAGTACTAACTTATTTTTGACATTTCTTCAATATCAGGTTGATAGCACTGCAGATAAGAAGCCAGAGGCTGAGCCATCATTTGAAATCCTGACAAATCCAGCTAGGGTTGTTCCTGCCCAAGAGAAGTTCATCAAATTTCTGGAGGGAAGCAGATATGTCCCAGTGAAGCTAGCTCCCTCAGGTTTCGTCTTATTAAGAGATTTGCAACCCTCTGAGGCTGAGGTGCTTGCTCTAACAGATGCTCCGTCATCTATGACTTCACCAGCAGCAGGCACAGCAACTGCCACCACAGGAGGTCAGCCTGCTTCAGCAACGACAGCGATGGCAGTAGATGACGAACCTCAGCCTCCACCGGCTTTTGAGTATTCTGGGTAGTGGGCGACTCTAGAAAGAAACTGTATTCCTTTTCCTATTGTTTCTCTTGTTTCCTTTTTGTTATTTTTTGAACTCAATAGGCAGTGTTAATTTTATTCAGAAGATAATTGAGTTCTGTACCATCAAATAGAGTTTAAAGTCTTGGGACTTCGCCTCTTTCCTGTTATCGAAACTGAACCGATTGATATGCGGACGGACACGGTGAGCTTTCTTCCCATCTGAGCTAGTTTTTACCAATATGTTGTATTTTGCTTAAACAAGCTGTTTCTGTATCTCCTGCCATGTTTTGAGAATACGTCCAGTGTCTTTTTAATCCCAAGAGTACAAGTACCCGCCCTGCTTTGTTTTTGACGTACCTTTGCAGATAATGTTTTTCACCTCTCAACTTGTTTTGCACTTATCATCCATAAGAAGCAATAAGTTCTTGTTTAGGGGTATGATTAATGTTGTCAAAGGTGTAGGCGAGTGAATTATTGCAGTTTATGGTTTTTTTTTTGCAGCTTCCTAAATTATCCTGTACTTTTCTACTTCAGGTTTGACGCTCGAACTTCATTTAATTTGAATGGCCTGTACTGTACAGCAATAATATTTTGCCTTTTCAGAGTTGGCGATCTGATTTTGGCAAAATATGCGCCAATATTTTCTCCCTTTGTGTTTCTTCAGTTTTTAGGTAATGAACTTGACCTAAGCTGGAAGCAGCCGCTATTTAATTATCCCAGGGCCCTGCTATTTTGCCGTGAGCTCCAGCAAACGGAGAGCACCTTTATTGAACTCACGCATCTTCACTGAGTCAATTCCTACGAAATTAGGGGCCACATGGCTTTCAGAGACAGCTGGTTTGATTCATGTCCAGATTTTGATCGAGCACTAGAGCTCGTGAGAGGCTCACTCACCCCTGATTAATTCCACACTACCTTCCAAAACCACGAGTCGTCCCCACTTCCTGTCGATCTGTGATGTCTCTCCTCCCTCTGTTCCGTGGGCAAATGATATCGCAAATTGTTATCGGTTCCATGTAAGTCTCAGAGTGGGAGAGAGAAAAAATAATAATAGTAACACCGTAGAGGACCCTAATTAGAGGTGTCATAGAGAACTATATTTTAACTGGTTGTTTTAATATTTATTATTGATTTATACTCCGTTTTTAGAATTGATAGTAAGACGCGTGTCGTATTCTTCTATGCTCCTGTGGTGTTTTCTTCCCCCCAATGTCGATGAAACCCCATCTTGACAGTTGTATTTTCCCTCTCCTTCACGGTTAAGTTTGGACCAAAAAGCTTCTCCACTTTGTTGACTTTTAAGGAAAACCTTGATCAATTTAAGAAGTTAAGAACTGCACAAAGCGTCGTGTGTCCCCTCCGAACGGCCGCTTCACAGTCACACAAGCTTGCGCCCCAAGTAATGCAATTTTAGGCAAATAATGCAAGGTTAATGTCACGCTATGTTCACAGGAAAATTATTTCCATTTGTTTCTTTTGTTTCATTTCAGGTTAGCATCCGTTCTAGAAGCGATGAACCATTCTGTGTCACGTTCGTAGTTGAGACATGCTGAGTGTTTTAATCGACCCATTTGATTATAACGGAAAATGAGCTGGAAAGAGATGTTAATAATTAAGAGATTGATGTTGCGATTCCATCATCCATTTAATTTGAGATCAATTGAATGCAACTGTACAGTGCCATTGATCATGTATTTTGAAGTCTTGTCAACTCGATCCTCTAAAAATTTAATGCCGATTATGTTAACATTCTTCATGCCACAAAGTGAGTTGCAATAATTCACAACTACGGTGTCCTTTTGTGCTTGTTTGCAGCTCATACCAGCCCTTCTGGTACTCTGTCAGTTGTCTCAATAAATATCATGCAACGAAAAAAAAAGAAGGTAAAATAAAAAATAAAAAATAAAAATGCAGCATGAATATTTTTATTTGCCCTCTTGAACTATCACCAAACTGCAGATAAATTCCCTGTAGTTCTATTGGTGCAAATGGAGCCTGGATTCTCAACTCCATTAACTTTTTTTTTTCATTTAAATCAGTTACATGTAGTAAACATTATGCAAGTTTATAGTAAATAAAGTAGTTTATAATGGTATGTTTTAGCTTATGAATCCCAATCCCAATATTAACATGAATCTAAGGGAGTTGAGGATCTAGGGGTATGTTTGCTGCAGTAGAAGTTAATGGCATCTGTCCGCAATTTTTATGACGACATTGTATTTTTACAGGTTGTCAGCACTTCTTGACTTGCCTACTTATCAATGTTGCGCTACAATACCAATTGTTGTTGAAAACCGTGTCGAGGAACCAAATCAAACGCCGATCAAAGAAGACCAAAACCAACCAAAATCAATGCACAAACAAAATACCAATTTTAACGTGGTTCGGCAAGTTGCCTACGTCCACGGGGCAATGAGGGATGGGGTTTTCTCTAATGGAGAAAGAGTACAAACTAAGATTACAAATCACTCGAAGGAACAAACTAATCTCACCAACAAAACTCTTAATCTCTCCAAAATAAAACCCTAATCAAAAGCTTAAAAAAATACCTCTTTTTGTGCTCCAAATATCCCCCAATCAATGCTTAATCAAAACCCAATCAAAGCCTAAACAAAGCCCTAAACAAAGCCGAAGAAACCCTAAAAACGTGTCTCTATTTATAACAAAACACAATCCCAAACTGATTGGGATTCTAAAAACGAGTCTGCCACACCCTGATGTGGCACACACTACACCCATAGCAAACATGGTAGATTCTGCCACACCAGGGTGTGGCAGACACCACACCCATGACAGACAGGACAGATTCTGTCACACCCATGGCAGACACCACACCAGGGTATGGTGAAGCCTGTTTTGCTTATTCTTCACGTTTTTCTTAATTCCTTCCTCAATTCATTCGTCGTTTTCACGTTTTTCTTAATTCCTTCCTCAATTCATTCGTCGTTTTCACAATCAATAGATTACCAAAGAAAATAAAAAATAAAAATCTAAATAGATTTTATTTAGGGTTGAGGGGGTATGTTTATCCTTTAGGTAACGTGCTTTACACGTGGCATGTTAAATTTGATGATGTTCTCTCGAGGGATTAAAGCGAAGAAACTTTTAGGAGTTTTGTGCAATAAAAGGACAAAATTTGAAAACCATCCGATTTAAAAAAAAAAAATCGCAAAAAAAGACCTCTTCTAAAAATAATTGTCAAAACAGACATAATCTCAGCCGTCGGGCTGAAACTGGGTCGATTTTGATGAAAAAAACTATGAAACTTCACGGGACTTGAAGTCCCGTGAAGTTTAGCAGCCTATAATGACGCTAATCTATTAACATTAGGCGATGCTAAATTTCACGGTACTAAAAGTCCCGTGAAGTTTCATAGTTTTTCTTCGTCAAAACCGTCCCAGTTTCAGCCCGACGGCCGAGACTTAGGTCGGTTTAGACAATTATTTCTAGAAGAGGTCTTTTTTTGCGATTTTTTTTTGAAAATCGGATGGTTTTTTAAAATTTCTCATAAAAGAAACTCAGAAGGTTCTGCACAAACCCCCTCAAACTTTATGGTGTCTCTGAAAAATTAGAATGGTTAAGGGGGTCATCTCAAATTGGCCAAAATTATGAGGTCTTTTCTTCTTTTCTTAATTTACCCTTTCATTTACCGCAATGATATTAGTACAACAGAGGGATACTTAACAATGCATGTACATAATGCGGACGCTCGTTTGTTTCATGTTCAACTATTAATCCTAAACTTTCCGTGTCGAGAAACTAACTTAAAAGAGAGCCGGGGAATTGATTGCACATACAAAGGCAACTCCGACCCTTATATATATGTTTGTGCCAAATAGAGCATGTCGAGTTCATTAACTTCGGCCAAGCATTTATTTATTTGAACCTCTGCGCGCTTAACTGCATGCACGTACGTCTCCCTGCAGCATTAAGCATTTATATCTTCCTTATTAGTAGAGTTGCATAAGTATGTACTTAGTAGATTCTCATAGGCATTTCATCAGTATGTAATCTCCCCTCTGCGCCTAATATGTTCAATCGCCAGAGTTGTTTACGGTTCTTAGAGCCCTCTAACCGTTAGACAAAAACTCTGAAGTTGTGATGAGAGGATCAAAGATTATATTTTTTGTTAAAACATTGTTTCTATTAAAATGATCGTCGTAACCAAGAGTGCGGTGTCAACTTTTAGAGAAGAAAAAACCCACTTTAAATTCGTGGTTGGTGAGATTTAAACACGTGTTGCTCGGACACCATCTTAAATTAAGTATCTCTAACCCATCACAGTAAAACTCCAAATTAAGCTGCGATAGAAGTTGAGAGCTAGTTTTATATTCTAACAATAATAGTCTTCCTTCGTATTAAATATCTGTTAAACTGTTAGAATTCAGGTATTGCTATTTTGTGCTATTCATTTCTTTCTGCCTATCATCTTCAGATGTTAGTTCCTTTTTCTTTTTCTTTTTCTTTTTTTAATCCATCAACTTCAATACTAGAGCTCATGCTGTCATGCATACACAAGTCAATAATCTGTCATTATACCAACATGTCATTAACTAGACGATATGTTTGATTAATTAGACTTTTCTCAAACATCTTCAACCACATAATTTCACGCACTAGCATTCTGAGGACGTTTGCTGATCTATCACCTTCAACTGCTATAAAATTCGTGCAATTCATTCACGCATCATTGTCAACCGTTAAAATCCGTACGTACAGATCGCATTGTCTGAAGTCTCTCATTCGGAAGACTAGTGACGGACGCGTGTCCCGGTCCCCGAAACATACTTTTGTTCTGCGTTGTGTTCGACCGTCCATGACCTCGCATTTCTAAAATTTCTAAAAAGCTAATCCTAACAAGCTCAATCAAACTAATTTATATTCCTTTTCTCCCCCCTTGAATCTCAATATTTAGAATATAATATACAAAATATCTCAACAGCCCCCACTCCATCCCACGTGATTCCAGAAGCATCGACGCACATGGCTGCACAGAAGTCACGCCAGCTGTTGCACACAATACACATTATTCTACCGAACTTCCCCCTCTCGAACCCAACAAATACATATAAAAAAATTAATAATAAAGTAACAAGATGATATTTTCTCTCCACCACCGAACTCACCCGCTTCCAACAAAAGCCTCACGTGGTCCCTGCTCGTCGCCGTTCAGTCTCAATTCCCAAATTACCCCTAGCGTCACGCAGAAATTACTAAGAAGGACATCAGCAGCAGCAACAACGAACTCAAATTAATACATAAACGAACATCAAAAAGAATTTTCACTAAAAATAATAACATCAAATAATACACAGATCAC